AATGACTGATTATGAGCCAATATAGCAGCTTCAAAAAAGCCTAAATACATACAGATGAGTGCCTCCAAGTGCTAGTTTTATTCTGAACATGTTCACACTATATGTGTACATTGTACACGTGAAGTGGTGCTGTGAATTCTTGATCAATACTTTGACTGTATCATCCCTTAAAATTGATTGGTAAAACTTATATCAGTAATAACATTGAATTTTCTTTATTTTCTTATATTATCCTGCAGCAGTAATAAATTCATGTTCCGTAGGCAGAATGCCAGAATAAAATTCCACTTTCAAACAAACAATATTTTGTATTTTATGGAACCAATTCATCTAAAAAACTGATAAACAGAATGAAACACAGTCTTGAACTAGAATTCTGTGTTTGTAATATAATTAACTGATTGGGTTCAGAAATCAGTAAAAACAACTATTCAATCAAACAATCTACTGTATCACTATTAGGTCCAAACGTATAGAACATCTGATTAATCTATGCCCTACAAAACCTACTACCATTTAATTCTTCTCAATTCAGCTTTGATATTTTTTTGTTATGTTTGCGATAATCTTGATTAATTTTGCCAAACTCTGTTATATAAATAATGGCTCACAATTATATATGAGGCTGAAAATTTATTTCTAATAGCTACACCAAAGCAACAGATTTAAAAAGACGAGTTATCTTCCATATCGAACATTGATTTAATGTCAGTGAAATTGTCAAACATCATCGCATCTGCCTAATTGATTCTTCTTGCACAAGTGTTGATGCAAACGGTGTGCAAACAGTCACTGTGTCCTTGCTTCCCCGGATCTCTCAATCAGCAAACTGTGTCTTCCTAATCACAGCCTTGTCAAGGTGAAGCTAGCTATACGCATTCACCAGTAACAGTAAGGACAGTGTAAGAACTGACCATGCAGATCAATATAGTGTTTAACACTTAAGGTCATAGGAGTGTATTGCTAAATGGAAATAGGAAGTATATCCCTAGTTGAAAATCCAATGTAGGGAGACAGTATCACAATTTCGCATATTCTAATGTTTAATATTAAACTGATGAATATTGTATGCTTATTATTGACAGAACAGTGTGTTCTTACAATATTAAAGTATTGCAAAGCAATCCAGGCATTAATTCAGTTGTTTTTTAATCAATGAGTCACATGTGTCCATTTTTCTGTACTTCAGGAAACTGGTTACCTATTTCACTACTGTGAAGTTTTTCAAGAACGATATCTCTTGCATGCAATTACTATGTGTATATGGTTTTATTATAAAATGTCAAATTTTAATCGTTTATAGATCATTAATTTTACACAATTTCAGCATTTATGAAATTGATATACATTAATGGAATACTAATCTATTTTAGTATCATTTTTATTGACATTATTTTACAAAAAAATGTGTTTCATTTTTTTTTCAAAATTCACTCCTTTTTACATAAATTTCCATTTAAAATCCTTAAAATTCTGACAACCTAATTTTTTTTTTGTGGCGGAAAATTTTCTTTACTTCAAAGCAATATAACTACAAAATTTGAATAAATTCTACTGAGAAATGGTGACACAATCCTGTTACCTTAAAGGGTGTATGTCAACTCCACCTCTAGGCTCTGTACATAAACTGTTCCTGATCAAAGGCTTAGATCATCTTATGTACTGAAGCAAGGGTAGGAAAGGAAGCAAGGAACATCCACATCCTACTTGGGAGAATTTGATTTCCTCCTCATCAGGAAGTCATACAATACAATTGTGTCAATCTGTTGTGAAATTGATGTCATAGACATGAAATCACAGGATACAGCTCATATAACTCAATGGAGTGACAGAAATCTATAATTACACTCCTTTATCAAGTCCTCACAGGACATTTTTCAATAGATCTATCAGGTGAAAAAAGTTAATTGGTTGACAATTGGTGGATTTTACATACAGAATGTATATATATACAATTTTTAAATTTATAAATAAATCTGAGTATAGAAGTAAAAGTTATCTATCCATTTGCCAAGTATTCATCACAGGTCCCCTAGAGCCATTTAGAGCAGTCATAATAAGGCTGATTCTGGTACTCTCACCTACCCTAGTTTTTACCTCCGACCCTAACAATTTTATCTCACTCAAACGACTCCATCTATTGTTGGGATAAAGTGTCTACTAGATGCTAACAAATTGATGGACGAACAATCAAGACAACGTATACCCTTTCTACTTCATTGGCAGGTATCAACTATATATCTATTCAAATCTCATAATGGGGGTCGCAAAGGCTTAGTGGTTAAGGCGTCTGACATTCTGCTACCACTAGCCCTCCACCACTTGTTCCCGGGTTCGAGACCTACGTGGGGTAGTCGCTAGGTACTGGCCATAGATCGAAGTTTTTTCCCCAGGGAACTCAGGCTTTCATCCACCATCAAAACTGGGCACGTCCTTGAATGACCATAGCTGTTAGTAGGACGTAAAACACACACAAAAAAAAAAACATTTGAAGTACCTAAAAATTTGTTTAGTGATTTTTGTAATATCTTAAATTAGTGCCCCTCATTTTTTTTTCATCTTATTTTAAATAAAATTCTGATCGACCTAACCTGTCTTTTTCAGTCATGTTACCTGAAACATACATAATTCTTTTTTTGGCCTATGTTACCTGAAACATACATAATTCTTTTTTTGGCCTAAACAGTTGAAAAAGTGTATGGGCTTTGCTAAGAACCAGTCTGATTAATGAACAAATAATTCATCATAAACATGTCATCTTTACAAAAAGTATGTAGGACACAGATGTGTAACACATCGTCAGGTTTTCACAATACTTGATATCATTTTCCACAGGAGGACTCTAGACAAGTAGAAATGTGATTGAATTACCATAGATTTATACCTGGATGCAATCCGAAAGATTGAATCTCAATCTACATCTATGTATGTAATCCTACCCAGACAGATTGATTTTGTGTCCCTCTGTCCTGGTAAAATCGGGGAATCAATTGTGTTGGCAAGATGAAATGTACAGTTGCAATACTGTACAAGAGAATATATATATATACTGTACAATTTTCTTCAGTTCTACCTAAAACTCTTGCATCTGTAAAAGGAAAGAGAATAGTGTGCTTCCACCAGGGAGCAAACCCTCTATCTCCATGTTCCTATAGTTAGATGCTCTACCACTGCTCTAAAGGGAAATTCCCTCTAGCTCGAAGCTAGGTGACCGTGATCGCATGTACAATTAAAATTGGCCACACATCTATACTACCAACAATAACCAACAAACGCACATTCCAAAGCTGTAAGGAGGGCACTAAACTAAACCACTATATCTGTGGAATAGGGTGCTAGTGCCCTTTTTGCAAATCTACTTCCTAGACTTTCCTTGTCAATACTTATTATCTTTGACTTAATTAATAATTGAATAAGTTTTAATTCTCAATATATCAAGACCATATCAAATATTTCTTAACATAAATATTAATTCAGTTAATGTCAGACTCACTCGGAAGTCCTTGCTGTTAAGCAAAAATGTGATGGCACTGTCATTTTCTAGACATGAGGGGGAGGGGAGATAAACTGATCAGGGATCAACACTAACACTAGTCCTGGACTAGTAGATTCCAGCAAGGACAAGTGAATCACTTAGCCTAACTGGTCCTTTGGACTTGTGAAAAATATGATTATAAAATAAGAATATTCCTTTTTAAAATTTAGAAAACTGCTTAAAATAAGATATATTACATGATAATTGTCAAAATTTTCCTAAAACTTCACCATATTCTTATGGCAGTTAGTTATTTTAAGTCCCCTAGAGTCAATTACTTTTGATGTTTCATACTGTAAGGTGACAGTACCCAAATCAGATCACCAAACCATCATTTTATTAAATCATTGAAAAATCTGAGGAGGAATTATATTCATTTATGGTTGTATCAAAGGAAGAATATCGATGGGTGTTCTTACAAACGAAATTAGCACCTGGGGCTCACTTGAGATATTTACAGAATGCTCTGAAGTCACCAATCAGCATCTCCAGTTTTAGTAAAATTTACTAAATTTTATGTCAGGACCCAAATCAGATCAAGGCTTGAATTTGGCAGTATCTTACGCTTCAAATGAATATTTTTTTGTCAGCATATTAACAATTTATGATGACCTTTAGAATTTATATGACAAAAAGTATTTCTATAGTGTGAATTTATTCCTAAAGTCCAAAACAGAATGCATAATCTTTGCATGCACCATTTTTTTAAACGTGATAAAAACACTGACATCAGAGTTTGAATTATGTTTTCTTGTGTTATTTGAACTTAAAAACTAATCATCTGTAGACAAAAAATGGTGCATGGCTATCTATTCTAAGACTACATCATTGTTATAACTAATTTGTTGACACATTTATTCTTTAATAAGTATTTTTGCAAAAAGTTATCCGATTTAGGTACTGATCCAATTTGGGTACTGCCTCCTTCGATACTACGATAGCGATGTTTCCTTAAGGAAATCTTGGACTATAGTGACATTTACAAAGGACAAGTAAATAATCTATTTAACTAATCCTGTGGACTACCAAGCAAAAAAAGTGTCTAACCCTGCTGATTTTAACCTCATGGCTATGGTCCCCCATCCCTTCTTATGTCCAGTAGGTCATGCATGGCCAGTATAAGTTACAACTTACAGCAGATAACTGTCTGCTTTCAGATATCAGGCACCGCTGCAAACTTTTCAATCAGATATGTGGTTGCTACATATCTGATTAATAATAACATAGGACATTATGATCAGATGGCACAGGAGACTACTAACAAGTATGATACTTTACACTTACGTCAAATGTAGGTTTCCTGTATAGACCTAAGCTACAGTGCATGACATGGGACATGCCGATGACATGCTTATCAACACTGTCAACAAGACAGCTTATCAACGATTTTTGTTGACACACGGGACACGAGTGTTTAACTTCAAATCAGCTCTTGTCCCGTCAAAATGTCATTGACGGTATTTACCTTTTCCGACTGTTTAGATTTGCCGCTTCCAGCATCACCGTTGGTTTTGCAACCCGCGTCTACCAAAAATCGGTGCGGGTTCCGATAGAACAGGAAACTTGAAACGAGGACATGGTTGAAAACAATCACCATATTCAGTTCATATGTATGCTCTCCTTCCTTCCAAAATGAAATGTCAATCAAGAATTACATATCAGGGTGATCGACGTGTTATTCCGTACCATGATCTCTCATCAATACAGCTCTATTTACAAAAGTTTCTGCGTCTGCAGCAAAGGCGTTTCAACTGCCGCCTGTTGCCAAGGGGAGATAACTCTAACGAAACACTTGTGTATGACCACCGAGATCTCATACATGGTCAGCTTAATCGGATCTTGGGGAAAATGGCAATCCTAGCGTTTGGCTTAAACATAAACCAACAATAATAAGCCTTCATATTGAAGTGTAAGTAACAGCATTTACACAATGCATGATAAAATAGGTTATTGAATTTACTATGGATTAAACGTTGAAAAATATGCTGACTTTTGACAAACTGACAGGTGTTTGAAGGACGGTGACCTACATCTATCTACTTTATAGTCCCAGTTGAAGGGTATTGTGAATGACAGGTCAAGTCTCGCGTCATGATTGTCAACATGGAATTTACATTCTCAGCTTTTCTTCATTAACGATTGTTATTTCGAGTGATTTCCTATAAATTAAGTCAGACTTACATGTACGTTACCATCTCTGCCATGTTATCAACATTCTAATCAGACACGTATTTTATACATCTCTGGATATATGGAGATACTTTCATTACGTTTTCAAGTTAATACCCTTCAAAATTACATTATGATATCGCTTGATACAGAACTTGAGTCTTATTCATTAAACAGTCTCTAGAACTGAGGGGAGTGGGCTTGCTGATAGAGTATAGGATATGGACTTTGCAGCTAACAATGTTTAAATCGAATTTTCTATTTGGATCTATGTTTATTATGTTTGTTCATGCAGAGACGTATATTAATGTAATATACGTCTCTGGTTCATGTTAATGTATATAAGAAATATATAAGCTATCACCTTGAGACTTTTCTTCATGTACATGTCTATGTATATATTTCAACGTGTTTCACTGTTTTGCCTTCAAACTACTTTGTAGTAACAAATGTGCAAATAAAATTTGAATTTGAGTATAACGTCGCTGCAGTGAATCGACACAGTAGAAACAACCTAACTAACAACTTTTTGTATCCGATGTATCCATTTTTTTTTTCACACGACATTTACTAGTGGTGGAAACTTGGAAAGAAGTGAGAGCTTTATCATTAATCCTCAATAACAAACATTTAACCAACCAATTCATCCCGTCATCTTTTAAAACCTCTTTGTCCTATTGCAAAATACGTAACAAAAATGTAAGCTAACAGGGTGATCGGTCATATTCAGCAGCAGTGATGGCGGCTTGTCAATAACCCTATCGGAAGATGGAGAACTCATAAACTTAAATTAAAAGTAACAGTCATGCCGGTTATTTTTAGCATACAGGTTTGTTTCAAGCCGGTTCTCATGGAACCCCACAGAGTCCAGTATATGCGATTTGATATACATGTGCATTCTTTAAAGTTCCACATCTTACACAGTACACATAGGTTATTAGTGACACCCTAGTTTGGTGTAGCGCCAACATACTGTACCGAATCGTTATCTAGTGAGTAACTTGTCAGGTGTAAGTTGTAGCTGTACAACTTTGTACGCACAAAAGTCTCCGTGTACTATATAGCTATATAGTGCACAGTTCTGTATACGAGCGCATGGCACTAGGAAACGAGTTTGGGATAATATAACGGTTATAAAATTCATGAACGAGACACTGAAAGTCCTTTCCAGTCAATTATAATTATATTATATATAAGATATTGTTTTCAGAGATGTATAAATATATCAAACTGGTTTCATACAACTCTTGGTTGGTAGCAATTTTCTCTAAAAAATGTCAATGCTCATATAAGCACCATTGATCAAGATTCGTGTACATAATTGTAAATATTCTAGGTACCAGAAAATATTAAAAAAAATACGTACCGTCATCTTTCTCCTGAGCAAAGTCGTCCAAGAAAGCCACTCGGTAAATACCCAGTATAGACTAGGTAGACCAGGTGTTGTCCCGTCGGTTCAGAATACACTATATCAACAGTACGTACCCTAATAAAACACTACAATATGTACGCGTAGTAACCAAATATACCGAGGATCTCCAACAGTTTGAAAGTTTCCAACTTTTATCGATAATTGACGTCGGCTACCCGGAGGGATAGGATCTCATTGTGTGGTGTAATGGTGGGATTGACGTCAGCAGGCTGCTGGTACACATCTAGGCTAGGGATAACACATCTACGGTCGTACACACAAATTAAAGGGTTATCTCGGGGACAATCGGTGAAAGTATATCTACCAGTTAGTAATGATGGGACGGCGTACACGTGTATACCTTTGCTTCAATGTTGACACACACACACACATATATATAGATTGACAACCTAAACTTGTCCACACTGTTGGAATTACTTCTTTGCCCCATATATATATACATGGATATAGGCTTCACAGACGTACACCGTAATTAGCCTTTAAAAACCAGTGTAAACGTCTCCGTTTAAATACATATATCTATTTATGCACAGTTAACCCGATGAGTGGACTATTTCAGGCAATTAAGTAATAACTTTTTAAACTTGAATACTGCCATAGCCATAAAAATAAAACTCGACTATTGACTTTTCATATCAGAAACTCGCGGCCATCTGAACAGTCTCGGACTTAAGCAAGTCTACATCTTATAGTGTAAAGGGATAATTCATGCACCCGTGAACAAACATTAACGTACAATGTTAACAAGCACTGCCATGCGTGTATTTCATGGCTATTTTCACTTGTAAAACTAGTGACAATTAACGCCCAGATTGCTTTTAAAAAGATCGGGTTTTCTTCGTCTAATTGCAATATCGCACTCATAAAAGAAAATTGAATCTAAACCACGTATTAAACATTTACACACGGTCTATCGGTCGGAAATCTCAGAAAACATGGAATATTCCAAATTAAACAAAATCAAAGAGTCTCCTCCATTGATGGACAGGAATTGCTATAAAAATTAATAGGACTACACTGCAGCTGATGTATGTACCGGAACCGTGAAATATGGACTAGGCAGACAAAACACTCAGAAGTGATGAACTTAGTCATACCTGGCAAGTATTTGTCATGACTATAATTAACGTACAGGAAAAAAATTACCAGTTCATTTGTATATCTATGTACAGTCATCCAATTGACGCAGTCTGGTAATTTCAGGTGACGTCACGAGTGTGTACTACTTGGTAAAGGCAGCGCTGAGAAACTATGGCACAGGGAAGATTCAAAGAGTTTATTTTATGCCCTCTTTATTAAACTTTATATAAATCATTTGCACGTGATTGATGAATTATAAAGGCAGTACTGCCAACGCTTTGAAATGAGGGCTTAAAATATCACTGAGTATTTAGGTTCACTGTCAAGCTATTTTCGTTTCTATCTAAAGATGAAAGATTATGCAAAAATACTTACTTAAGTTACCTATATGTGTAGGTAGATTATTTTATGATCTGCACACTACAATGTACATGTATATCTACGTTTTTTCATTGCTCCGTGTGGGACATAAATATATATTTTTCATAGTACAGAAGGCACATTCTATAAGTTAATATATATATAATATATGTTCAGATAAGACTATTTAAAACATGGGATTAAATATTCTTTTAAAAATAAAACCTTCCATCTGAAGTATAATCTAGTGAATACGGTACCACACATTACCATAACAGTTCCACTGAAGGAGGACGCGGCAAATATCATACTACAATAACCAAGAAATACCTCGTCATACAGTCCCACTGAAGGAGGACGCGGCAAATATCATACTACAATAACCAAGAAATACCTCGTCATACAGTCCCACTGAAGGAGGACGCGGCAAATATCATACTACAATAACCAAGAAATACCTCGTCATACAGTCCCACTGAAGGAGGACGCGGCAAATATCATACTACAATAACCAAGAAATACCTCGTCATACAGTCCCACTGAAGGAGGACGCGGCAAATATCATACTACAATAACCAAGAAATACCTCGTCATACAGTCCCACTGAAGGAGGACGCGGCAAATATCATACTACAATAACCAAGAAATACCTCGTCATACAGTCCCACTGAAGGAGGACGCGGCAAATATCATACTACAATAACCAAGAAATACCTCGTCATATAGTTCCAATATTCTTCGTTTATTTCGTTTTTTCACTCCCCGGCGGCGATTTCGCGAAAAATGTCTATTTCTGAGCACAGGGACCTGACACATGCAACACTACTAAAAATAAAAACGATATCACTGTACATCTAAGGTATATATACTTAGTACTGTGACCAACAGTATCTGATCTGTCCATGTGATTATTAGAAAACTTCAAAAAAACAAGAAGAAGGGAGAAAATAACAAAACCGTATTTGGAGCACTTTTTTTGTAATAGAATGGAGTCTGCTTAAATAGAATATTGGACCACATTGCTTTAATACCACAATCCAAATATGTCACACGAACAACCGCCTCTGTATGTGTATATACTTTATACTGTTTATAGTTTATAGTACTATATACTGATTTTTCACGTCTCTGGTGTGTTCTCCAACTCTCCCCTATATCGGCTAGTAGGACAATTAGGATATATCAAACATAAACATGATATATTGGAAAGGCCGGGAGGCACAGGTCGTTAGAGTACACACATCTGTGAATACATCGGCTTTCAGACGCAACGTCTTAATGACGTCAACAGCAGGTTGTTCTATTTAAAAGCAGTAAGATACACAGGGACTTATCTGGACCTTACGTCAGAGATCTATACTGTAATCAGTATCAGACGGGTATACAGAGACGTATACCGACACGTCTCTGTTGTGACGTAATGTCTGATGTCTGTATCGTGTTATGTGAGTTATAATAAATTGTAATTAAACACACCTGCATGATGTTGCTTGCAATTATTCAAGAGACCTCAAGGAACCAGTTTGTAGAAGTTCAGTATATACTATGTTCCTGCTTCAAACAGAGACGTATATACTATGTTCCTGCTTCAAACAGAGACGTATATACTATGTTCCTGCTTCAAACAGAGACGTATATACTATGTTCCTGCTTCAAACAGAGACGTATATACTATGTTCCTGCTTCAAACAGAGACGTATATACTATGTTCCTGCTT